TAATACGCTTCATCCTTTACTCTATTCTTTTCCACATCCTTCTTTCGAAGCATGTAATCATTTGCTAGATGATTTGCTCCATTGCAATAATGACAATCCATACCAGAATCTCCTTTCAATTTCTTCTCGTTCTTTTCCTCAGCACCCTTCTTATCATTCTTCTCATACTTCTTCTTCTCTTCTCCTGCAGCCTTGTTCACGAAACTTCCTTTTCCTTCACTTTGCTTCACCTTTGGATTAAACGGTTTCTTGAAAAACTTTTTGACTTGGTTGTTTCAGTAAAAATCTATTGCCTCGTCATCCGAATTCATAATAAACCCCTCTTCATAATCAGAATCACCTTTTTCGACTGCTTCCTTTTTAGACATTTTAGAGACAAGTGCTAATGGACCTCGCAGACTAAGCTTCGACTCTTCTGCCATTTCGTTCACTTCATTTTCGTGAGTTTTCAGTTGATTGTACAAATCATTCAAAGAATATGTGTCGAAACTCTGTTGATTATAAATGCGAAATTCTTTATCATCCCGGCAAGGCCAACGTAGTAGATGACGCCCTGAGTCGAAAAGAATACTCTGGCCGTAAGGTCAAATCATTGACTATGACCATCCATTCACACTTGTCCACACAAATTAAGGAAGCTCAGCTCAAAGCTTTGAAACCTAAAAATGTGGCGGGTGAATCCCTAAGAGGGATGGATAAGAACTTAATGGTAAAGGGTGGCAGAGCTTTATATATCATGGATCGGATCTGGACACCGAAACACGGTGGTTTCAGAGACTTGGTCATGACAGAAGCACACAACACTCTATATTCCGTCCACCCAGGTTCAGATAAGATGTATATGGATCTTAAAAAGTTATACTGGTGGCCTAACATGAAATCAGAGATTGCTACCTTCGTGAGTAAATGCCTTACTTGCGCCAAGGTAAAGGTTGAATACCCGAAACCATCAGGTTTACTTCAACAGCCGGAAATACCGTAATGGAAGTGGGAGCGGATCACAATGGACTTCATAACCAAGTTGCCCAAGACAATGGGTGGTCTCGATACCATATGGGTGATCGTGGACAGGTTAACAAAGTCCGCACACTTCCTGCCTATCAAAGAGACTGACAAGATGGAGAAACTAACAAGAACATACATTAGGGAGATAGTACGCCTGCACGGTGTTCCCATATCCATTATCTCTGATAGAGAAAGTAGATTCACTTCGAGGTTCTGGCAGTCGCTATAAGGTTCCCTAGGAACTAGGCTGGACATGAGTACAGCCTACCATCCACAAACCGACAGACAAAGTGAGAGGACTATTCAAACTTTAGAAGATATGTTGCGAGCCTACGTGATAGACTTTGGGAAGGCATGGGATACTTATTTACCCCTTGTCGAGTTTTCCTATAATAATAGTTATCACACAAGCATAAAGGCTGCTCCATTCGAAGCTCTCTATGGCCGTAAGTGCATATCCCCTCTGTGCTGGGCTGAGGTGGGCGACACTCAGTTAGCTAAAGGACGAGTTCCTTACAACACTCTCACAGGTCCGGAAATCATTCGGGAAACGACAGAGAAGATCGTTTAGATTCGTGAACGATTAAAAGCCTCTAGAGACCGACAGAAAAGCTACGCAGACAAAAGAAGGAAACCATTGGAATTCCAGGTGGGCGACCGTGTTCTATTGAAGGTCTCACCCTGGAAGGGCTTGATACGCTTCGGAAAGCGTGGAAAGCTAAATCCAAGATACGTAGGGCCTTTCGAGATTCTTTCAAGAATCGGCCATATAGCTTACAAACTCAAAGTACCTCGTGAACTCAGTAACGTACATTCTACTTTCCACGTCTCGAACTTGAAAAAGTGTCTGTCCGACGAGACTCTTGTAATCCCACTCGACGATATCGAGATCAACGAGAACCTCAACTTCGTGGAAGAACCTGTAGAGATCATGGACCGAGAGGTCAAGCAAACGATGCAAAGTCGTATCCCGATAGTGAAGGTTCGCTGGAATGCCAAGCGAGGATCTAAATTCAATTGGGAGCGCGAGGATCAAATGAAACTGAAATATCCTCATCTTTTCGCTTAGTTATTTGTAACTTCTTATTTGCTTAAACTCTAATTTCAGGACGAAATTCTCTCTAACGGGGGGATGATGTGACAATCCGAAATTTCTAGCTTGTATATTTATTCAAATCTATCAAAGTTAGACTCGTTTTGCTATCTTCTAGCACTGTTTAGAGTCATTTGGAGTGTTTAAAACCTAGTATATTCAAGGTATTGGGTCGTGGGGTGAGTATTGTGAGTGTAACACCTTGCAATTAAGCCAAACACATCAACACAAGGTGTATGCGGCCACACACCCATCCCAACCGCACACTGACACCTATATATATGATACTTAGTCATTTTGAACACTTTTTCCACTTCTTCAAGTCTAGAACTCGTTTTCTCTCAAGTATCATCCATATTTCTCTTCAAATCTTCAAATCAAGTAAGTGTTGCTTCCTTGAATCGTTAATACAAGGCCTTAACTAGCCTTTACCTTTGATTTGATCCATGAGAACACCTATTTGGGGTTAGATCTTCAAGTGTTCACCAAGAACACCAAGAACACACACTACCTTTTTGAACTTTAACTACACGTTTAAGCCTCTATATCGGGTATCCACTTGCAATAGCTTGATATAAGCTAAGGACCCTTGAAATTATGAATGAAAAACGCCATTTCATATAATCTTCAAGTGTGTGCGGCCGCACACACCATGTGTAACCGCACACACCCTTTTTAACACCCAAAATGGCAACCAACTTTCATTCCGGCTAAGCAATGGTCAAAACACCTTCCCTAGAACATTCCTAAGGCTTGGAAATAAGTTTGTGACACACTTCATAAGGAGTGTGTGGCCGCACACACACTTGGCCGCACACCCTGGCCGCACACACATAAAACCCTTGGTTTTGTGTCCTTACACTCCAATATAGAGCCATACACCCCTTATGTGCAACCATAGTTGTTGGTAACACTTAATTCTAAGTGTTTATATGTCCATAAGGCGTGTCCCTATCACCATTAGTGATTATTTACATTAAATGTATTCATATATGTATAATTATATGTTAAATAGGATTCGTTTGTGTTCAAGACACCAATTGACACCCAACAAGCCTATATCGATCTTTCATTCGAGTTACTCACTGCAGGTGAGTTCATACCCCTTAACTTATCTTTTAAATGATTTTAAATTCTTTTATGGGGGGGAATACAAGTAGAAACATTATAGTTATTATATCAATCACATGTGATTAATAACTATCAAAACAGACGGATTTGCTATACGTCAAACTGTGTTATCAAACAAAATGCTTCAAATCGCTTATTCAAACTTTCAAACAAAATATCTTCAAAATCTATATATATATATATATATATATATATATATATATATATATATATAGTTATATAAGTAGGATTGAAAGGACTTAGGACTGATGACTCGCCTTGCTTCCTGTTCCTTGTTTGGTTGTGGACTTAGGGTATTCGGTTGTTTGTCCGACGGTCGTTTGAATCTTAGTTATATATATTATGTGTATGTATATGGATATTAAAGTTCTACATTCGGTTCAATACCTTTGGGTAGCAAAGGTGTTCAAACATGTTCATTTATACAAACAACTTTACTAGTAAACTATAATAGGTATAGTTTAGGAAGTCACTACTCACTATTTCTAGTACAATGAACCATACAAGAGTCATTTCATTCATGAGTCAATATAAACTTACATTTATGAGAAACAGAATGAATATACTATGATGAGAAATTAAGAGAACATACAAATACACTATACAAGAGAACATACTATGATGAGAAATAAACATACACTATACTAGTACAAAGAGAACATACAATACATTACGCTAGTACAGAGAGAACATACAAACACCAGAACACTATAACATTAATGTGAGCCACTACTTCACGACATGACAAGCAATTGTCGTGTTGCATTTTGCAACCAGAGTCTCCTGGAGGGAGAGCGTGAATTGGTGTATAGATCTATACGGGACTGACTATCCTACACCTTGTTGCTAGCTACAGTGGGACCTGCAGGTCTACGGGTGACTAATGTCATACCATTTTCGATGCCTCGAGCGTCGTGTTTCTACTAGTCGATCAAGCATGGTTACAACTATATCACATTTTTCCTTAATTAAAAACAATGGTTTTAAGGTAGTTAGTACAATGGTAGTAGTTATATCCTAATACTACAAGTACATCAATATTATTTTCCCATTACATTCATATAGTGAGCTACTCACATAAACGGTAATGTAAACTATATTTCTGGTAAATGATAGTCTATCTTTGGGGAATATTACACACTTTTACAAACGAAGAATATACATAACATTTGGGTCTTGGTAGAAGGCTACTTTTAGTAGAAAATGTAGGATTTTCTAGGAGATACAAACATTTGCAGAACAATTACAAACACATACAATCATTTGCAAAACAATTACAAACATATACAAACATTTACTACAAACACATTTATGGAAGCAATGACACTAAAATCTTATGAACTCACCAGCTTAAATGCTGCTCTACGCTTTCAAAATAACTTGTATTCTCAGGTTGTCAGTAGACAGGTACCGATGCCAGATTTTTAGAAGATGGAGCATATTCAAGACTCATCTTTTATTTTGAATTATTATTTTTGGTGTCTTATAAACTATTCAGAACACACTTGTATTAAATATTATTATTAATGCAATGGATGATGTTGTTTCTTGTTTACTATTATGCATTGTTATGATACTGTACATAACGTCCTCCGCCCCCGAACGTTTCCGCCGTTCCGGTTTTGGGGTGTGACAAGTGATGCAAGAGATTTCAAGCCCGTTACTTGAATCCAATCCTATGGATCAGGATTTTGAAAGCCCTATTGTTAAACAAGAAGTCTTACCTTCATAAGGGGCTCAAGCTTCTAGAAGCTCCTTTGAAGCCCCCGATATGGATATTTCAAAAGGCAAAAGTAAGCTGCTTGAGTCTGAATTTGTGGATGTCGCTCTGCTTCAAAACAGAGTTTTTGATTTGGAACAGAGCTCAGCTAAAAAGGATTTGATTATTGGAAGGCAGGACATTAGAATCAGTGATCTTGAAAAAGAGAAATCCATTAAAGATGGAATGATTTCCGAACTTCAAGAAAATCTTGGTGGTCTAACTACCTTGTTCTCTGACCTGAAACAACACATACATCAAAAGTTTGGTGATGATTTTCAACCATTAAGCGCTGAAGGAGAAAATATTTATGCTTCTAGTTCTGGTCCAGTCAATCCAACTTCTCAACCTACAAGTGAAAGAGTTGTAAGACCTGATCCAGATGCAAATCTTGACACATTTTTATCTTATGGTCCTGCTTCTTCTCAAGAAAGAAGAGAGAAGCAAATCAGGGTTGACCAGCTAAGACGGAAGATGCTAGTGATGAAGCATTCAGACCAAAATGCTCCAATTGATCACCTTGAGATGTTTTTCAGGGAGACTGGGAAGAAATTAACAGATAAATACGGGGACCATTCTGGAATTTTGATGTGGGGATATGATGCTGATAAGAAAATGTGGATCGTAAAGTCAAAGAGCGGAGAAATTGAATATTATGAGAAGAAAGTTGACTTCTTGTCCTGGACAAAAGTTGAGCTTTCTGAACTCATCCATGCACCTTTCCACAATCCAACCAATGAACCCATGGCCTGGTCTTTTAAGAGTTTTCTTGAGGATAAAGCTAAAAATAACTTTGAAGGCATGAAGACTCCTTCATCGTTTACGAAAAAGGCCAGGGATGTCATTGATCCTCGCACTAATAAAACCATGTTGAATGTTATGTGGCCGCCTACAAAGCAAGCTAAAAGGATTCTGCTTCCTAAATGTTTACCAGAAGGCACTTTGGACTCAATGCAATTCTGAGTCTGTGATGAGGCTACTGCGTCAGTAGTGATCAAGCTAAAGAAGAACCAGTATCACATTGTTGATCCCAAGGACTAATTGAAGTTTTGTGAACATGATATCTGAACTTTGTCAAACTTTCAAATAATTGTTGAGAATTATTTGTTTGAAGCTGCCGCAAAAGCCTTCACCAGAATGGTTGCTACCATAATCGAAAAGAAGTTGTAGGCTAGGGCATTTGATTAGGTGGATGTACATCTCGTGGAGAAGCCTTGAAGAGAACTAAAAGCAATAAACCAAGGGGGAGATTGTTGGGCTATATTTTTTGGGTTTATGCTTTGTTTTATTTGTTTTATATATGTTCTCGATTTTGGACCGAAATCACTAGTGGGATTACGGTGGGCTTGTTATGTTTGAGCATTAGGTTAATTGGAATAGTATAAATATGGTCTGTGTGTAGCTATTCTAGGTTAGAATGCGTTTTTGGGAGTTTTGAAGTCTATTCACAGTTGAAGAGTAGTTGAATGTACCTGACAGTTGATTAATAGAATTGTGTGCATTCATTGAAATGTGTTCATTGATTCATCTAATTGTTTGGTTGTTTCACACAGTTGTTTGATTAAGATTCCGCATTAACTCAATCAATTGCATTGATACCTTGAGAAGATCCGAATTTTGGGACTAACACGAACTTTTTTGTAAAAGCTAAGTAGGGCAATACAATCGATAAACCCTAACGATACATGCATGCACATTAAATTGTCTAACCGTAACATCATAAAAACATGGATGGACAGGCCCAACCCGTTACAATAAGACTATTCTAGTACTAAAAAATTTTGACACAATACATTAATATCCCAACAATCTCCTCCTTTGTGTCAAATAAAGAAAGGAGATTCTTCATTGTTGCACCTTCTGAACTTTAAACAGCTTGGTCATCAGATTCAGAAGAGTATTTCTGATCACAAGATACCACTTGATCATGTCATTGAAGCGCTTCAGATGCGCATCATTGTTGGCTTTGCATGCTGATGTGAATTATGAGCATTTGATTTGGCATGCAGAATTAAATAACACACAAAGAAGATGGTGATTTGGGTTCTTAAGAGATGTATTCGATCATGAAAGGTGTTACAAAAAATTATAAGCTAGATCTAGACAAATAAATAGCTCACACTAACATTCTCAATGTTACATCTCTCAAGCACACCTCTACATGTGCTAGGAACCCACCTTATATAGAGGTGTTTACATCTCTCTCTCTCTCTCTCTTATGTCACAAGGCTACTTTACCACATCCAAGTGGGTCTACAAAAGTCAAACCATTTACAAAGTCATACATGAATAACATTGTACCCAACATTCTCCCCCTCAAAGTTAGGAATGGATGACCCGCTTCAAATCTTCCAGAATCAAGCAACCTCACGAATCAAGCCTCAAGTGTGACACATGTAGTTATGAACTTCAAATCTTCAATTCTTCAATGACTTTTCAATCCGGGTTCTAGCATGTGAGACCATACAAACCGAGCATCAAAATATAATTAGAAGTTTCTCAATCTCCAAAAATATCACCTAAATTTGAGCATAAATGCACACCCAAAAAATCATCAATAAACCCAAACCCATCATGAACCAAAATCACTTTCGAATCTCCATTCGAATCATTTCATAAACTTCAAATACTCGAGGTCACTTTCGTCTTCAAGTCCGCGTAATATGAAAAATTCAATATTGCTTCCAATTTCCATATCTAAATCTCTCCCCCTTTTTTATAATCGAAAAATGATTATAAAACCAAAAAGGGAATGAGAAAGCACTCAATTCGGAATTTTTCCACCTAAAACTCCCCCTTAACACATGGCATAAACATTTTGCTTAAATCTGGAAAACCCAAAAAATCTTCAATTTTCAAATTCGTTCACGAACCGCCTTTGACAAAATTTCGCAAATTTAGGTAGAAATTGTCAATTTCAAAATTCTACATTGATCCGCTGCGCCCAAAACAACCAAAAATGCGAAACACTCCCTCATTTTCGAAATTGGGTAGAAAGCGTCAATTCGCATTAACTGCATGGGCTTGTTTCGAAAATTATCTCATTTCTCAGAATTTTTAGCCCAATTTCGAAGTTGGGTAAATTCTGTCATTTCGCACAAACTTCAGGGATTCGAAACGAAACTTCTTCATTCTTCATTATTTTTGTCACAATTTTGAAATTGGATCAATTTTGCCATATCTTCGAAACTTTAGGGACCTAATTCAAAAACTTCGTGTTTTCTACTTCCCACTTCGTGTTACTAGTGTCGAAATCACATAACCCTTCGTACATCAAACCCGTGGACCATATTGTTGGGTTTTGAGCATTCTAACACTCCTATGGTGTACATGCAACCCTATATACCTTGGATCTATGTTTTTTCTATTATACATGCAAATATCAATTTTTCTAAGGTATCATCCTAACTAGCATATTAAGGAGTATCTACAATATGAAATATAGTTGATTGACATACCTTTTGTTCTAGCTTGATTCCTTGTACCTTTAAAGATCTTAGTGCCCTAAGTGTTTCACCTCAAATGGTTCGCACAACACCACCAAAAATTAAAATAACTTGAGAGAAGATTATTTACACTCAAAATCGGCTAGCCCTCATGTGTCTATCACTAGTCACTCCTTAGTGCCAATTTCATGAGCTATGAGGCTTCTTATATAGTGTGCACATTTGGGTTACACCATGTAACTGATGACTTTCCATATTCCTCATGATCCATGGGTTTAAACCTCCATGGAGTATCCGTGGGTCACCACATGGGTTTAGCCCAACATGAAGAACTAAGGATCATAAGCACACTTTATAAGAATGAATGATTTACCAAATCAATCCCCATTTATTTAATTAGTCTCTTTTGATCACAAAATTAATTCCAAACTAATTTTTGATCATTATAATTAAATAATATTAATATATTAGAAATTATAATATATTAATAAATCATAAATATCCTCTTCTCACAAAAGTCTATCTAAATTGTTCTGATGCCATGCAACCCAAATGGACCATGCTACTCTCTGGTCAAGTACATACCAATAATAGTTATGGGCTTAGACACCTAATCCAACACATATAACCAAGCTTTCGAAACCAATCCTTTTGCAATCAATCCACCCATTTCGAAACAATAAACCATGACCCTTATTTCGAAATCTCGATGCTAGACTCCTACTAATCACATCAAGATACGTCGACATACCCATTGCTTCGCTTTTCATCGACTCAAAACCATCGACCATCCACCATTCGAATCCTGACTCAGTTGGCTTTGCATATCGATTGCAATCATCAAAACAAAGAAATCTGGACTCAACATCAATTGACACCGTCCCTTCCAGTTCGTCATCAATCATCAACTATCGACTCCAACTTCCGCTTTTCAAAAATTAAGTTTTCGTTACTCAATCAACAATTGAAATCAATCCAAACCTTCAAAATTATCATCCCCAGATCATCTCGTTCCCAAAATTTGTTCTTCCCTTGGAACGATATCCATCACCTCTTCGTTTGTTGTTCATAATCGATATCAGATCCAACTTTCCCAAATCAAAATGTCACCCGTTTTAGAAACGAACGAAAACAGTGAGGATAATAGATACCCAAACCATCGAAATATTCCATTAACAGATTGCCATAAACCATTTATCAGTCTTTTGAATCAAAATCAATTTCCCATTTTTTCTCATCAAAACCGAACCTTTGACTAGAAACTAGTTTCCTGACCATAGCATCAACTACAAATCGATTATCATCCTTTGATTTTTTGACCAGTGATGCCCAAGATCAAACTCGCACTCCATAAAACTTCAATTCCGATTTTGACTTTCAAAGCACATTAGCGACCAACACCAGTCGACTTCAAATCCAAATCAACGACCATCAATATCGATACTAAACCATCGATGAACAGACTTTCAAAATTGATTTCTCATTAGGACCTTCAACCCGTTGAAATCAAGTCTAGATTGATATCAGGTATGAAAGAACGTAATCAACCAAACTAATGTTGACTCGATAAAGTCAACTACAAGTCGATTTCGTCAAATTGTTTGATACATCAAACATATATTCGACTCCAATAAATTCTATCTATTTGAAATCGATCCTACCTAGTCGACTCAACATTGATATGGAACACTCGATTCAAGAAATCACCAATCGACCTCGATATACAATCGACATCAAATACGAGTGTACGACGAGTCTAACTCAAATTCATTGCCAATTAAGCACAAGTTTTCTGTTGAAATCAAACTCAGAATCAATAATCATCTTTGAAATCGAGTTCAATTTCATGTCCAATTTATTCATAACACCTTCTTTTTGATTTCGAGTAAGATGACGGAAAGATGAGAATAAACGAACTGGTGAATTATATTTGGAACACAAATTGGGCACAAATAATAATCAGTTGTGACAACCCGAATCTTTTTCCGTCAATGCTAGCCCGATACCGTTAATAAAATTTGAATTTTATTTAGTTCCCTCAAATTCCTATGATTTGGAAAATCATTTAGGTTATATAATTAAATTTATATGTGAGTCGGAACCAAAATCGTGCGAAA